AAGCATGTTTACGGCTGCAATCACACAAGAGGTCCGTACCAAGGAAGAAGCATTTACTTATTTACTTACCTCTGCCTGGCCCAATCATTTAAAAAAAGAAAAAAAAAAACCTACATGAAAAAAGGGAACAAAGGGAAAAATCAGAAGTATCAGAGGACAGGCCTCTAGCTACAGCAAGAGTCAGGGGTTCTACGGCTGAAGAAGGTCAGGAATTCAGATGTGGACATCTTGGGGTCAGAGGAGACGGGGAATGACATTCCTCCCAGAATGTCCCCACATCAGGCACTGTGCCCTAAAGCAAACTGAGTCCCTGTTTCCCAGGCCTGTGGGATGTGTGCGTAGTTTTAAAGCAGGTAAAACAAAACTACGTGTGTAGAATCTATGTCTATAACGTACAAAGACCTGTGGGGACCGGAAGTCCATGTGGACACAGGCGTGGCCTCTAGAGGACCCTGGAGACAGCGGTGACAGCTCTGCTGCTGTGTTCAGGCCGCGTCACCGGCTCTGGAGGTTCACCTCTCTGCCCTCTGCTCCAGAGGCCAGATGCACTTCATTCCAGGTATGAGGAGGCAGGAAGAGTGGCGCTGAGACCACAAAGGAGGACGTAATGTCGTCCAGAGAGAGAGGAAGGGAAAGGGGCCAACGAGGAAGCACTGCGGCAGTGACCCAAGGGGACAGGTCCTACGAACGGGAGGAGGGCAGAGCCAACAAGCCCTGCAACAACCGCACTGCGATGGAAGGAGCTAACTGCACAGGCGGCAGGGCAGCAGTGCTGGGGTGCCTTCCAGGGGAGAGCGGGGCAGCCCGGGGTCCTGGCAATGGCCAGCTCTCTTCAGGTGTGCAGACGTGTTGTGGCACCACGTGTGGAGTGTGCGGGGGACGGGGGGTAGGGGCAGAGCGTGGGGGTGACAGCAGGACACCTCAGTGCTGGCTCAGGTCCGGAGGCAGCGATGCCTCTCGCCTGCAGGAGACAGGTGAGGCCACCACAGGGCTCTACACAGAGTAGAGGTCAGGGGAGAAGCCCCAGGCCCATGAAGGACCGGAGAGAAACCGGGAGGCCACTGCTCCCCAGGACACATGAGGTCTCCAGGGAGGAGCTTGGGGCGCAGTGTTCCCCGTGGCTGCCAGGTGGGGTGGGGCAGAGCCTGAAGCTCCCAGTGCAGGGAGACCAGAAGAAGGCCATCTCAGGAGGAGCCCCTGGGTGGGGAGTTAGGCGAGGGCTGAGGTGGCCACGTGGGGAGGAGAGTGAAGGGCGCACGTGGATTCACAGATTCTCGACAGGGCTGCTGTGACTGCAGCAGACAAGCGGGGAGCTGGTGGCCTGGGAGTCCAGAAGGGGAGAGAGGGGTGCAGGGGAGGGGGGACACGCAGGAAGGAGCCCACGTGACGCCCGTCCCCAGTAGGGCACAAGTGCATGGGGTGCAGCCTGCTCCGGTCACACAATTTCTCTATGACATTCAGCCTTTGGTGTACACTTGGTTTGAATCAGCTACTTCTCCAGCCCTAAGAGTGCGAGTGGAGGCAGAGAGGAGGAAAGGCTGGCTTGCGTGAGGTCACGCAGGCTGCGCCGCCTGTGACCCAGGGAACAAGTGAAAAACACCGCAGGGAAGGAGGGCGACGAAAGCGAGCTCTGGAGCGGGAAGTCCTGTGAAGAGTTCAGCATTTGCTGTCACAAGCAAAGCAGAGAAGTGGGAAAAGGAAAGGCCGTGGGCCTTAGAGAATTGCATGCTGTGATCTTTAATTTTTGTATTTGTTGTTTTGTCAGCACAGCTTCCAGGCAGCAGTGAGTTGGCCGGTGTCATTGTCACAGGCAGGAAGGGCCCACGAGGAAAATTAAAGATCATGGGTCACACCACCCCATCTAGGGAAATGACCACAGCAGGGCAAAGAGGGACGTGGTGCGGAAGCTGGCCGGGACAGCGCTCTGTGCTTGAGGAGGGGGACGTCCTTGGCTTCAGGCAGCGGCTAAAACTGTCTGCAGTAACCACTGGAAGACAGGGAACAGCACGCACATCCTCAAGATATTAAGAAGTAACACAGTCAAAGAAAAGACAGTGAATCCAATAGGCAGAGGTAAGAGCAGATGGCAGCATAGGTTTGTGTTATCTATGTAAATAATTGCAGTAAAGGTGGGGAGGAGCAAGGAAGACTAGAGTGGTGGACAGAGCAGCTTGGAGAATCCTTTTAACAATACTTAGCGAGGGCCAGGGAGATAGCTCAGCGGCATACGTACCTGTCTGGCAAGCACAAGCTCCTGAGTTCTATCCCTAGTGCCCCCCAAGAAACCCAAAAACTAAGGCAGACATGGAGCACAAGTCTGCAGGAGGATCACAAGTTTGAGCCAAGCCCAGGCAATTTAACAAGATCTTATCTCTAAACTTTAAAAAGTGGGAGCTACATACCGCTCAGTGTGGAAGCCGTGGGTTCCAGTCCCCAATGCCCTCCCCCGAGAGAAAAGAAAATCAAATTGTAATAAACGACCTTTTAAAGACTCTGGAAATTAGCCAAACTATACAAGTTCAGAAATGCTCTCTCAAGTTAGAATGACTCAAGAAGAAACAGAAAGTTTTGAATAGACTTTTTAAAGTAGAGAGATTAAATCAGCAATCAAAATAGCAAACCATAACTAAAAGTCCTGGGCCAGATGGCTTTACTGGCTAATTCTACCAAAACATTTAACAAATTAGCCTCAACCCCCAAATTGTTGTGGAAGCGTCAAGAGAACTTATTGAAAAAGAACTTTGAAAAAGAAGGATAAAATTGATCCGCTTACAATTCCAATCTCAAATTCACCATATAGCAACGATAACCAAGAAAGTGTGTACAGACATGGGGAGAGCTGCGGACGCAGAAGGGAGCTCCTGAGGAGACGCCTTCCCGCTGCAGGATCCCGGTGCTTGTGAGATGCGGCCCCGTGTAATGAGCGGCTCATTTATCCTGCAACACTGGACCAAGCGGCACCACCATGCAGAGAGAGGGTGGTAGACTGCCGCCTGGCACCAGAACAAAGGCAATGGAAGGCTTCCTCCTCCGGCAGGGAGGAGAGGCGGGAGAGAGGTAAAGGAATGCCACAGGAGAAGGCAAGAACCCTGGGGAGGAGGAGGAGGAGGAGGCAGGGAGACAAGGGCTTGTGGGCTGGGCGGGAGGCAAGCGTGCGTGGCTGGCAGAGTCCTGACAAGCGCTGATTGGGGAAGGCTTGGAGGGCACGAGAAGACAGAGGACATTGAGGTTCATGCGGGAAGAAGACGGTGACGACAGCCGGGAGCAGCACGGCGGTGGCTTAGGAGTCCCACACCACACCGGCTCGCCACCAAGGTCGCTCTGCAGACCCTTTGTGACGCCACGCAGATCGTAATCTAAATTAAGCTAAGCTGTGACGCTCGCAGAGGAATAAAGTGTACTCGTGATGTTGGGTTGTTTCCTCCCACACGACTCCAAAGTGACTAAACAGAAAAATTTTTATAAATCTGACATCAGCACAATGAAAAATGTTCCACGTACCAGTAAAAAATGAAAAGACAAGCCATGGACTACAGTACAGTATTTCCAGTACATATATCTGATAAAGTACTTCCATCCGGAATATATAAAGAATGTGCACTACTCAAAAATCAAAAGCAGGTAACTTCACTTTAATTTTTTCCAACAATGTAGTGTAGTTTCCAGAGCCCAAGTTTTGCCCTTTTTCTGTTATTCTTTAGGGCTTTTCCTTTACATCTTTTGATAGCACTGTGCAGAATTATAGGTGGGAACTGTTTGCTTAGCTTTATCTTTGGATTATTAGTTATATGTGTACAAAATAGAAGAGATTTTATTTCACTTATTAATCTTTTATTTAACCTGTAACCTTGCTCAGCATATTTATTAATTCTAATCACTTTTCAGGGGATTAGTAGTATTTTGTATGCACGATCACGTCACCAGTGGGCAGGCTCCCAGGGGACAGAACACGGGCCGCTCCAGCCACTTACGGAACATGGCGGTTGGGACGACGACAGAGCCCACCCATAATGGGCCTCCACTCAGTGTCTGACTCTAGCCTCCCTCTTGGGGAAGGCACGGTCCAGGGCATTGTGGCGGGCCCAGCACAGGGTGGGGCAGGAAACCAGGCCACAGAATGTCACCAGACAGGCTGGGACAGGCTTCCCAAGAGGAAGTAGAGAACTGCAACTCACCCCTCCCCAGAATACACGGTGGTTTCTGACATCAGTCAGAGAAGGAATTTCATGACGCATCACTGTGAGGATAAGAAGGTGCATTGGGAGAAAATAGGGGGCTTTGTTCCTGGGAAGAGGACCCAAGGATGCAGGGAGGCGGGGCGGGCGAGAAGAGGGGGGACCAGGGGCAGGTCCATGCGCCAGCTGCCCATGGTGAGTGCATCCTTCAGCATGTGGGCCACAGAGGCAGCTCGCCGGGCAGGGAGTGGGGCTTGTGTGTGGCCTTGGGGTGGCCTCCAAATGGATGTGCATTTTTATGAGGTGTGATTCAGAAGAGTGTGCATTTAAATTTTAAAAGTTATTACAGTAAAAGACACACGCAGTTAACCCCTTCAGAATCCCCCAGCTCCCAGCGTGCTCGCCTGTGGTCCTGGCCGCTGTCTGCAGCCACTCTGGAGCCCTCTTCCCCAAGTGTCTCTAGCTGTGCTGTCCTGGCTGCCTCCACGTCCAGAGTCCCCTCAAAACACTGACCTTTCACGGTCATTCTCACTTTGGAAAGAGCCGGGAGCTGCCAGGCGCCCACTCTGGCGACTAGGGGCAGTGAGGACCCTGCCGGCGCTTCTCTGGGCTGCCTTTCCGCCGTGCACAGCCCTCACCGCGGTCTTGCTCACGCCTCGAAAGACCCCCAAGGAAGGTAAGCGCGAAGTGAAGGGAGCATTGTGAGGTGTGCTCACCGCACTGCCTTTCGCAGTAGTAAGTTTTAGAATGCGAATGTTTGTGTTTTCCCATTACCCCTTGTGCTCCCCGTGGGGCCAGCCGGTGCTGGGGCGGCTGTCAGGCAGCAACCCTGCGCTGCTTGTGGGAGGAGACACAGTCAGAGGAGAGAAGCGCAGACAGCTTCACGCACCCTGTGGACCCAGAGGGCTTTTGCTCTGGGGATTTTGGGGGTGAGTTTCCTGGAAAGCAACCTGGCTAGAGTGGTGTGTGCTGAAGCTGCAGCCTTTCTTAGAGGTAGGATTTTGAAATTACAATTCTCTGTTCTCCTTTCTACTGTCTTTATTTTTCTGTCTGAGCTCAGGAAGTTACCAGAACCCCGGCCCAGGGTTCCGCTGCCCTGAGCCCTTTAGACTTTTTCTGCAAGAGTGGAAGCAGAAGGAACAGGCCCGTGGGTGGATGGGATGAACGGTTCTCCAAGGGATGCTGGTGACCTGTGGCTGAGAACAGGTGACTGAGCTCCAACAGGAGAGATGGGGTGGAGAAAAGCATGGGAGGGGGCTCACAAACAGTGGGAGGGATTCCGTGGCTGGCCAGACACAAGGTGGAAGACTCGGGAAGGACATGAAAAGTTCAATAACATTTTTACTTGGGCTACAGAGGTCGTTGGGCAAGGTGAGGATCCAAGAGGAGGAGGGGACAGGATGGAGATGTGGCCATCACGACGCTGGGCACACGGGTCAACTCTGCTGCAGAGAGGCTGAGGGGACACGGGCTGCGCCGTGGGGCCTGGGGCGAGCGGAGGCAGCCCAGGAGCCCATGGGAGCTGCAGCTCAGACCAGAGTACAGATGTTCCAGAGCACATGGGGCAAGAAAGAGCAGTGAGAGGCTGGGCCCAGCAACCCAGGGAGCCCGAGCTGGAAGGGGCAGAGCCAGCGTGCTCATCTGTGCTGTGCGAAGGGGACTCTCAGGAAGCTGCCCCTGTGGCACCACCTGGGCCACTGGGGACATCTGGGGAGCCTCCACAGCTCGGCAGGGCTGGGTTACAGGGTACAGGGGCAAGGGGGTCACCACTGGAGAAGGAGTATAATGTGAGGGGTGTGTGACATGAGGCAGAGGGGCCCAGGAATGTGGGAGGCTTCGCTGGACACCAAAGAGACATAATTATGCCGAAATGTCGGCAGAAAATGGGCTCTGTGATCTTGCGCCCAGGGGACTGCGGCACGGGCTGCACTCGCAGCACAAGGAAGGGCTGGCCAAGCGCCTGGGAGGGCGGGTTGGGCATGCTGGCTGCCACAGCGATCGTACTATTAATAAGGAGTGGCGTGAAACACCAGCAGGAGTGGGTTCCAGACAGCACGGAGAAGGAGCCAGGGAAGCAGAAGGGGAGCAACACGAGGGGACGCACTCGCCGTGTGGAGAGGCTGGGAGTCAGCCGCGCATCACCAAGCCCTTCCTCCACACCAGGCGCTCTGCCAGGGGTGGGCATAATGGGGCACAAAGAAACTCTGTCCCTGCTCTCAGAGCTCACAGCGAGGAGAGCGCACGCACGCACCGTATCTCAGCCATTGCAGGTAGCAGGGTGGGAAAGATAGGGCTGTTCAGAGATGGGGAGGGGGAGCCCAACCTTGACAGCAAGCCTGAGGCCAGGAGGCTCCCTGGAGTGGATGCCACCAAGCCGAGGCACAATTGCCCTGGACGGGTCCAGCAGCCAGGCAGGACAGGAGCCAGCCTGGGCTGGGGAGGCTCGCAGTGGAGTCTGCAGACACAGGGTAGGAGCTCTTGGGAGCGCCTTTCTCCTGTGCCGTGGAAAGTTGAACTGAGTGTGCGGCCTGGCTGGGGTGGCTGCAGGGGCAGCCGGGGCTGGGCTTCGAGCACTGCTAAGGCGCCTAGAGCAGGGCTAGAGCAGAGCAGCAGCGAGGCCTGCAGAGGGCGCTGCAGGGCGAGGGCAGGGAGCTGAGGACGCTGCCCCACGAGGATGGCACAGTGCCCCCAAGACAGAGGAGCAGTGCCCGTCGAGGAGAAAGCCATCGCCTTCTCGTGGCGGGGACAAAATGCCGAGCACTCACACTGTGACGAGGACAGGTTCACTCTGGTTCACAACTTCAGTGCAAGGTCAACTGGCTCCAGGCAGGAACTGTGGGGTGGAAGGGTCTGGCGGAAGGAAGTGGCTTGCATCACGGAGACCAGAGAGAGGGGAGCGGGGACACATCCTTCCTGGTTGTACCCCAGAGCCACCTTCAACCAGGCCACGTGTCTTAGCAGCACATAGCCATGACACCCCGCTGCCCAAGCACTTTGGCACAGAAGAGCTGTGGGGTTCATTTTTGATCTATGACATAGCAAGCAACACCAAGAGGGCTTGTTGATGACGTCGGGGTGTGGAGAGATCACAGTGCAGCCAAGAGTGCAGGCAGTGGATCTAAGACAGCAAGAAGCCTGGGTGGGCAGAGGCCGAGTGCCAAGAGACAGGTGGGCTCAGCAGCTGCTGTAGGGTAGAGAAGAAAACACACCAGGGGCACGAGCACGGGAAAGTGGAGAGGGGGCCATGCACGTGCCGCGGATGACAGGCTGGGGGCTAGAGAACAGCCCGGTGCGGGGCGGGGGTGGGGTCCTCTCCCTGGTGCCCATGCTGCAGGTGGAGCTGGGCAGGGTTGGGGTGGATAGTGACAGCACCCGAGCTGGGCGTGGCTGCTGGGTGACCAGTGCTCCACTCGGAGAGAGAGCGCTCACGTCCTTAGAGCGCTGTGCCTGACTTCACTGTAAATTCACTAGTCCATGAATCTGGAGGATGGCCCATTTTTTCCATCTCTGCTGTCTCCACGTTCACCCCGGGCGGTGCCTGCGCTGCTGAGCATGAAAGGACCACCTGACAGGGCGAGACTCGCTGTTAAGCACAATGCGGGTGACTTCAAACCCTCCAGACCTGGCGGTTTCCCTTCGCCGTCAGCAGCGAGACCAGTGTGGGCAGTGATGGGCAAGAGCACGGGGCCCCCAGCCAGCCTCGAGCTCAGCGACCCTGCTGTGCTTCTCCCTGTCTGGCGCCCACAGAGGGGCAGCAAGACCTGAGCCCTCGAGAGCCGGGCAGGCCCAGGACCTTCAAGCAGGGCCATTTCCTGCCTCGCCCCAGGTGAAGCCCAGATGGAGGCTCATGCGCATGGGCCTTAGCTTGGATCAGGGCAGCAGCCCAAGACCAGGAGCTCGGGAGACACCACCCCACGCTCTGAAAGGGTGTCTGCCTGGGAGTGGGGTGGTGACTACATGAAAGGAGAAAGGGCTTTCCTGGAAGATGCCCCAAAAGCCAGTCCCCACGGAAGACTCCCCAGCCCAGGGTCCTCAATGTGAGCCACCTGGCTCTCTGCCTTGAGGCCAGGTTTCCAAGGAAACAAAAGGTCTCTAAGAAGCCAGTGGCTGCCTGGTGGCTGTGCTTCCCAGAAAGAAACCAGTGTGAAAAGAAGGACAGCTTGGTCCCGGAGGCCAGGCAGTGGCCCTGCCAGAGCCGCTTGCAGCTCACAGCGCACACAGAAAACCGCAGCAGTTGGATGCATGGGACGGGCGATGGAGGCCGCTCATATGGAGAAGAGCACCCTGGGAAGCGGCTCTGCGCTCTCCCGAAGACCCAGCTCCCAGCTCCAGAGCCTGATCCACACCAGACCCAAGTCGTCCAGCAGGGCGGCCACGCTCCACTGCCTACCCTAAGGAGCCGAGAAAGCAGCAGTGAGGCATCAGTGGTGGCTACCAGACCA